CACCATACACCAAAGCAATTTCAAATGATATCATCTGATATCAAATGTGGTGATGAATACTGTTATTTCTGTCATTTGACCAGCAGCAATGTGTTCAGGCATTTCAATATTGAAAAGGTTGAATAATAGAAAATAAACAGCAAATATATAAATATCTACAGTGGAAAACACATATATCCCATAGGATACATAATACAAATATTCTGGATAAATTAGAAAGACCAATATAATTGATATGATGAAGCCCAGTGAGACCACAACAGATCCTGCCTCAGTGAAAAAGTTAAATTCAAAAGCGCTGTATACTGTCCAATAAAATGGATAACTTCCACAGTTATGAAAAAATGCCATTTCTACAACAAAGGACGTGCATGCCAGTGTGAAGCCTGTGCTCATTTATTCTACATTCTCTATTAATCGTATGCAAACAGCTTCCTCCTCCCTTTCCACCAATTTGCCATCTGTCTTCATTGCCTCTATCCTGACTCTCAAGGCCATGCGCAGTAATGGCGCCGCGCCTCGTGTTTAAGTGTTTACTTCCTACAGGGCACTCCAGAGCCTGTTTACTGATTACAAAATCTCTTTCTCCGTCTCCGCCTCCGAACTGAAGCCACTCTCATGACCGAGTCAAGGTCGCTCCCATGCTCTCCTCCATGCCATCAATCTCAGAGGGAGTAGCAAAACTTCCTCTCACGCTATACTTTGTTCCTGTGCCCTTTCTTTTGTGAGTGATAAAATAAATACACATCCCCCCCAAATATCATATCCGCTTCGTCCTCTTCCCTTGGATTTGGAGGTTGACAGAAATGATAGCCAAAACCAAATCAAATATGTCGTATACAGAGCAATGGTCAGTTTGAATTCCTTGCCAGTCCATATCATTCAGGAACATTCCTAAGTATTTCAAAAGTTGGCTAAAAAAGAATCTCTGTATTAAAAAGTATAGTTTAACTCTTTGTGGGTATGTACAATATTTTAGTTTGATGATGGGTAAAATAGGAGGATATTTCTTGTTTTAACTTCATATTGAATTGCCTGAAATTATGAGTTGTCATGTTTTTCAGTGAGCTGAATGGTAGGGATTATTGATATCATGTGGACACGCAAGGACAAAACACCCAGAAACACCAACAGTATAAATACACACGATAAAATACTTGGAAATGGTAATAAAATACCGTAGAAAAACGACAACGCACTATAAAGCTCAGTATATCTCTCTGCATGCTAACCAGCTGACAGAGCAATCCATCGGGCTACAGCCAGCTTGTAAAAGTGTACAGACTCCAATCCCGGCTTCAAACAAAAACCCCGCTCAGCCCATATAAATTACAGCGTAGCGATACCATCAGTGGATGCCGAATGCTGAAAACGCAGCGCTCCAGACATACTCGAAGCATTAAATTCCATCCTGTTGGCCCACTCCACCGCATAAGCAACACAACATCCATCACTCTGAAAGCCATTCTTTCAACCCAACAGACACTTCCCTTTGACTCTGGGAAACAGCCTGCTAAAGCTGACTGTAGTGTAAGCAAAACTGATCTCAAACCACAAATCACAACAATCCACACAAACTCACCCATATACAAACGGAGATTATGTAAACAAGCTAATTTAACTGTCAGTATTCATCAAAGTGGTTGATGCTGGTCAAGCACACAATAGGACATCAGTCTGACTTTATGATATCCATAACACAGGAGGTTTCCAGAGTGCACGGACACTGGAAACACTTCCCTACGCTCCTGCTTTATCACTCTTTCTCCAGGTACCACCACGGTACCTGTGCAATCCATCACTATGTGGTGGAGTAACCTTGCGAACACCCCGTCATCTGTTTAGTATCGATCAACGCCCTCACCAACTCATCATCATTATCAGACAGCCGGCTTTTGAAATGACGTCTTGAAACACTTTCTGAAGTTTGTTTCCATCTAGACTCATTCTCCCATGGTCAAAGACCCTCCCACACACACACACATATCTCAGAAACCACAGCTTTCTCAACTGCGGGGGTACTGGGAACGAAGCTAGGGAGAAACATTTAGGGGTCTGGGGTATGCACTCAGCTAAAAGCGGTCAGTATAAACCATAAAACCTGAAGCTGCCAAGTCTTCACCAACTATATCAACATCACCCAGAATGGATATTTGCTAAATGGTCAAAAGTTGCGCTGATGCTAGGCACCATTTTTCGGCTTTATCGTAGCTGTATTATTCATTAGTTTAATTGCATAGCTAACGTGTTATTAAAGGCAGCACAAAACTAAGTCTGCTTTAAGACAGAGGTTCCCAACCTTATTGGATTATGACTTATCAAAATGAAGGTATGTGTATTTGCATGGCGGCCATTTCACCCAAATATTATAATTGTTTTAACAAGAACTCTATGTAAAACTATCAAGAAATTCCAAAGTAAAACAAAGTGAAAAAATAAACAGTTTTCTGCAGCAGAAATGTTCTGTTTTCCGAACCTGTGACTCATCACTCAAGACTTTAATTTATCCTAAAAACCCCTACCAAGAAACACATAGGAAGAAGTACTGAAACCCTATATTGTTGTGGAAAAGAAGTATTGACTTAAAAACGAGATTTTTAAAGAACAAATCCCAATGAAAAGATCCCAGCCTCTTTCTCTCGAGAATTTCTGCAAACATAAATCGCTTCTTAAATACATTCCTTTCCTCCTTCCATAGCTTTGAATGGATTTCCTATTAATTTGAAATTTGAGCCCTCAGCAAATAAAGACACCATCACAATGGAAGTGACAAAAATCCTCAAGGACACTCAAAATGAAGATAAGAAATAAGTTCTAAAATATGGAATAACATACTGTTTGCCTGTCCAGAAGAAGCGTATGTTCACGTAAGCAGCTACACTCAAATCTAAATTCCAAATAACCGTTGTTTTTACTCAGCGAGGACAGATGGCGTGCTGGTCTTCAGGCTCCTAAGCCTTGACGTCCAGTGCTGAAGTTATTTCCACACGCCATCTCCTCCCCTACGCCTTTGATCCTGTGGAAATCTGTCCAACACATTTATGGCCGGAGCTACCGCAATGTGTGTACAGGCCTGGCACAAACTCAGTGAGAGGTGAGTCTGAATCGCTACATTTCATATCGTAAAATTTAAATGGAGTCCCAAATGTAGCTAATCTGTTGGAGCTACTAGATAGACGGTGAGCGTTTAAACACTGGAAACAGGTATTCACTGACAGTGTTTATGTAAAAGGAAATTCATCCATGTGCTGTTTTCGTAAAAATGATTTAGTCTATAATTTAGTATTCAGACCTTTGTTTTGTTCCTTTAAAGTCTACTTCCAAAAGCCTTTACCAGCTGACAAATACTAACTAACATTCAAGCTAATCTAAACCACCTTGGTAGAGTAATTGTGATGGCCTTAACTTCAAAGTACTTCTCCACAAAGTGTTGACATTATATTGTCTGTATATTTACATGGCTTCAGGCAGGTCTAGTCAGACACAATGGCCTGGGAAAGACTCGGACAAAGAAATAGTCCTCGTTTTGTTTCAGGACCAGACACTGTTTTGTGTAGATGTAAATGTAGACATCCACACGGAGGCCATTTTAAGATGCTATCACAATGAATTCTTAACCACACTTGTACAAGTTCAGCCTTGTTACAGTCAGCACAAAACGTGCCACAGAAGTCCTTTCCCACACATTCATTATGCTAAAAGCTCTGCAGTATTCCATCACCACAACTGAGGCTTTGAGTTTTCCTGCACATATTGAACACAGGTGCACGTTGAGACAATAGCTGCCAGAATACGTTTTTTACGAGAGCTCAACAAACGCCTTATAGACGCAGAAAAGACATAAATCAAGTGCACGCTCACAGGCAAAGGGACATGTACAGAATTGTACACAAGACAATGCCTTCTTCATCTTCACCAAGGACGTCGTTTGGTTTTGTTTTTGTCAGCTGGGTCACAAAAAAAACGATATTCATGACTTAATAGAAAGATGCAACATGGGCCAAAGAAGAAACCATTTCATTTTGGAAGGGATCTGAATCACAGGGCGGATAAACAAAGTGTTTTTCACTCAAGTAAACAGCCGTGGCGAACGTCTCTTTATAGTTTAGTTCAAAGATGGCATCAATACATTTCAGTTTTTGCTAATTCCTGAATAAGTTGCTTGTTTTATAGTTCTCTGCAACAGATAAATGATATTGCAACATGTGTTCATAGGTACTTTCTTCAGCTTGGAATACCGCCCCTACGGCTACATTGTGATGAGGGTGGCGGGTGTGAGATTGTGGCGCAGAGAGGCCTCCACACATGGGAGTGGTAGATCTCCAGATGCTTCTAATTCTCCCTCATGGGTCTCTTCTGGATAAGTGTGTAAACCGCATGCTAATGTGTGCAACCTCCGACTGTGATATCTTGTCAGTATGAGTGTGCCACTTTTTGGTATGTGTGACATGGGCAGGAAATGAGAGCCATCCTCCTATAGCTGATGAAGAAAAAGGGACTGACAGACTCTATGGGGGTCAATGAAGCCAAACTTTTGGAGAACATCCAAAAACTTTTCCCGAAAATGGTGACAATGATGGATCGCTCTGAAACCAACGTGTCTTGCAAGTAATCTGGAGCTATGGGAAAAGTGGCACTTCAATGACAAATATGTAGGTCATATGGCAACAATACAGCACAAACAATATAAGTGCATGTCAGGGTGTTTAATAAACGAAGACCTCGTCTCAACAAGAGCGTAAAACCACACAACGCTGCACTAGCTCTGCGTAATGAATAAATGTGGTTTGACCTGGGAACACTAGAAGAATTTTCCAAAGTGGAATGGTGGGAGACCCCACACGTAACAATTGTTTTCCCCACACACTTCCTGCTAATGTGAGCAATCTCGACGCAGGATCTCCCTCCGGCTCACATTATCCTGCATGTGTGTGTACAGTATTGATCACAGAGTGAATGCAAAGAGACAGATTGAAAAAGATTCACACGAAACAGTTGTGGCGAGAATAGTGAGGATGCATGAAGAGAAAACAGGATTTGATTAGTGTGTAACAAAAAGGCATCATCAATGTGGTATCAGAACAAAAGACACTAATTATATCAAACATGCTCTGCTCAAATGTGGCAAGTCTCTGTGAGGTACAGTGGGGACACAATGTATCTTTTAAAGCAGACAACACAAGACAATCAGCTATGAAACCTCTGCTATTAGGAAATACAAGTGAGACCAGACTGGCTCATTGGGGTCGGATCTAAAATAAAACACAGCAGGGTCTTTGACATGATACAAATGATTACAACCCCCTGCCATTAGAGGAGCTTTGCCTCCCTCTAGTGGTGTGCTACTCCAACTGCGGGAAGTATGACATGAACAACTTGTGATTCTCACCACAGATGAGACAATTAAAAATGACTTCATTTTCCATAATGCTCCAGGATCAAAATCTCAACAATTAGAGCACAAACAGCAATCATGACATCCTAGATCATCTCGTACCGTTTCATTAAAAAAAAATGCAAATTCTTAATGTATGAATATTTAAACATTTATTTAAGAATTTTATATCAATATTTTTGGATAGCAGTCAGTAGTCGGTGCACATGCCAAGGTCATTGTCTCATTAACAACCATCTACAGACATTAGCTGACTTTATATGCAAGTTAAAGGATTATAACAGAAAACCATTGAGGTCCCTTTACAGAGTACTTTGTTTCTGTTATAAGGATCAAAAAGTGCATTTTTAATTACTCTTTTCAATACACAGTATATTTTTTCTTATCACTTTATGTTTGAGGTTAGTGTGGATAAGGCCACTGGTTGTGCTAAGTAATAGCAGCGGGGGAAAGGGATGGCAAATGATAGATAAGAGAGGGGAATCAACCTTTCATTAGCTTACAAAGGTCTGCTTCTCCCTGCAGAGAATGAAACCGCAGTGTCAAAGAAAGAATGAAAATAAGTCTAAAATTCACAGAATGATGGTTTGTTAATGTTAAAAGGATTCCGTCACATATACATATATTTAGCGTTACACATTAAGGATGAATAGCTCATTTTTATGTGTTGAACTGTAGCATTAAAGGTCCCATGTCATGGCCATTTCTACTGATCATAATTCCATTGTTGAGGTCTACTCAAATAGATTTATACTGTGCAATTTTCCCAAATCCATTTGGACCAATCCACGGACTTAACGTAACGGCTCCGCGGACGTAATGTAACGGCTCCACGGATTGGTCCATTTGGGTATGGGCACGTCACTGTACCCAGGAAGAAAAAGAGAAATCTCCAACGAGGCGTTCTGGGGCAGCACAGACAGGTCCTTTCTGTGTTAGACTTTTACTCGCTACAGGGTGTACGTTGAGGGTTTGTGACTCTGCAGACCGTTTACATGCATACAAAGCTACATAACACACAAGGGGACGGGTAAGAACCGGAAAAGCATGACATGGCCCTTTAAATATCACACACAGTATAGTATATGGCAAGTGCCAACCACTAGATGGGGTTATCGATTCAAGGATTGAGCAACCATTTAAAAATAAATACTTTCATAATTTTATTCACTTATTTGGCTATTTTAAAGAATGTTTATTTTAATAACTGTCATTAAAAAAGCAGTGCAGTTATTTTCCAGAATATAGATATAACTAAAAATATAAAGATACTAAACTAGATTTTAATTTGCTGCCGTTTATCACAGTGCATTGTCGAATCCCATTCATATTTCAGGCACATCATTATTAACAATCATTTACCATCCTGTGAAAGAGGCACATTGTGTTTACAGAATACACAACCAGAAATTGCCTTTCTTCCTAAACAGTGACACCAGGGTAAACAGTGCCATTACTCAGCAAAATAACACTGATATTATATAAATCTCTGCGCAGTGAAAACATAACTCATTTTAGCTCATCATTAGTTCAACAGAGCAGAATTCATTGAGAGTTAGTATTAAGGCTGGCTTCTTTTAATATTCTAATGTATCGCTTTGGTCTTTGTCAACAAGGATTTCTGTAGTTGATTCATATTTGTTTCCCCCTTTTTTTCAAGAAGCACATCTCAGGCAAACTGATTAAGTGTTATGCATAATTATTTTTGGATAAACAGTTTGCAAATCAAATCAACGAATGGATTTGTCTGAAGTCAGCAAATAAGTCCTTTAGTCAAGAACAGCCCTATAGTAAGCTTGTCCCGTGCATGTAAGCCAAGGAAGTGATGCAAACAGACGTGTTGTTCCAGCTGGCCGACATCAAATCAGGTTTCAGTCATGTTGTATCATCCTGGATCGGAACAATAAGCAGCCCCTTTGGTCAGTGGCAAGTGTCTATCATTTGGCTTAGATCGCTATGTCAGAGTTCAAGATTTGGAGGTTTTGGTTGGTGTTTTTTTTGTCTGTCTTCTTGCTGAAGATGGTGTGTTGGGGGTCTGCTGTGTTGTGGGTCTGGTGTGCTCAGTAAGGTTCCATCTTGATCCTTCTGTATAAGCAGCTGGTGAACACCATGCCACAGACCTGAAAACAGGAAGTGTCGGGTCAAGCTGCTGTGTGTCACCACGGCAGACTGCCGGGAGCTTGAATGCTATTGGCTGTGAGGACAGAGAAGGGTTATAGGTGATGGGGGATAGAGACAGCTGGAGAGTATGTAGCTGGTTGCTGTGGCGATGGCAGGAGGTAAGCAGCCATTGTTGCAGCAACACGTGTGTGTGCACAGGCGGATACAAAACAAGCAATGGCGGGGGGCAAAAATACAGCAAAAGTCATACAAAAACAAAACTTAAATCAAATGATCTGGTAATTAAAGTGTTGTTGCTTTGGCTAAAAGAAGAAATGTGCAGTAATAGGTCTGTTTACATAATGTTGTATTCTGCATCAGAAAGCAGGATTATCACAGCCATCATGTTATATTACCAATTTTACAATTACAAACCATATTAAATAATGATCAGAACAGTTTGGGAAACATTTGACTATACTTAAAATATCCCTGATAATAAAAAAATAAAAAGCTAATTTGCTGGACTGCAACCATTTAGCTCGTTTTAGCTATATTTTATAAGGGGTCACAAGGATAAAAAGCATTCCGATTTAAAACACCTAAGGTAATACAATACAAAAATATTATTAAACAATAATAGGTTTGTAGACCTCTAAAGACTAATGATCTGATGCTGGGGTCTGTGAAACAAAGGCATGCAGAACATTTAAGGATTCACAAGATATGACTTCCATAAGCACTAGTATTCCATACTGTACTAAAGCACTATAGAGGGTCCAGAGATAAAGAACAACAGGAGCAGATTAAAGTGAGCCCAGATCCAATCTTTGCCTCTGTAAAAGCCCTCTGAGAAAGCCTCATCGAGCGAGTCTGCACGGTGTATTGACTCATCACTCTTTCTTAAGAAACACTTGACTTTGTTTTACCACTACGAGTGTCAGCTATGTAGAAAAACAATATTCTGGCTGCGAGAAGCATGATATGAGAAGAAACAAGCAAAACACTTATTTCCTGTTGGACAATCACTATTAAAGAAGCTTAATGTTCATGATAGCCCATTTTAGATTGCTAGTAACTATAGCAACAGAACTAATGCTTTTCCAAATGATAATGCACTAGGAGGTGTCCGAATAAATAACAAAGAAAATAAGAATATGGTGCATTAGCGCTTCTAAAAGACGATCCATGAAAGTAAAGCCGCATAATCACTTGATACAAACCACCGTACATTTCTGAATTATTTAGTATTATTTCAAAATCTCTTACCAAATCCACCCCCACTATTAGACCCCGTTTAAAGTAATGAAGTGAATCCTGATGATAATGATTGAGGCGTTTTTTGCTTTTCCCACGCAGCACAGATAATATGAAAGAGGCGTTACTGTACCAAAATACAGAACATTACTGTTGCAAACTAAATCAGTGTGCGGAAGCTAGGTTGAATTAATGGAGCCATTCTCATGATGCGTTGGACTTTGATCACGTCTTAAACATCCGACAATAACAACATGCAGAGCAACAAGCTGCGGCAGCCGCATGCATCACTCAGCGACAGGCCGTGTTAGAATGTGAATATGTTCACTGAGTAACCAAGCAGTTTCACATGTAACACAGAGCGGGCAGCCACACAGGGACAGACATGCAGACAGGTGTCAGGTTCCCAATGTGCCTGCAAACCTTGTCTCTCCGGTTGATTAAAGCACAAAGTCGCCCTAGAGCTAAATCACAAAGTACCGAAGTCCTCCTCCTCTTCTTTATACAGCAGATAGATAAAGCAGGCTGTCAACACTGCCCCGGCCAGCTACACACACACACACACACACACACACACACACACACACACACACACACACACACACACACACACACACACACACACACACACACACACACACACACACACACACACCACACACACACACACACACACACACACACACACACACACACACACACACAACACACACACACACACACCACACACACACACACACACACACACACACACACCCACACACACACACATCACACACACACACACACACACACACACACACACACACACACACACACACACACACACACACACACACACACACACACACACACACACACACACACACACACACACCACAACACACACACACACACACACACACACACACAGTGCAACAGGGGATAATGAGGGAACGACCATGACAACACAAAGAGACACAAACTCTACATTTCAACAGATCTATATTATTTTCTGACAGTTATTAGAGACAGGAAAGTGTACCGACATGAAGACAGACTGGAAAAGTTGACAGAGACAAGAACAACAGTAAGTCTGCAGTACAAAAGGAAAGAAAACTTGGATTGAAATGTGTTAAATCACACTACACAGGCTCACATGTATATCCATATCTCCAGGTTCTATATATCCAACACCTCATCTATATGTGTTGCATAATCCATTCGGATCACAGGGGATGGAAAACGCAGAAAGCTTGATCTCCACGGCAAAAGTTAATGGAAGTCTTTATTTTGAAATTACTTTGTCACAGACTTGGATGTCTGGTGCCCTTTTACGAATACAATGGTTTGATGACCTCATGAATAAGCGTCTGTGCCTCAAACAGTTTCTATCTTTCTCATTAAAGCTGCATGTACGGTAAAAATGGTGGATATTCAAGGACGTATCAGTCATAGAATACAACTGGAAAGAATCAATGCAGGTTTGTTTTTTCTAAAGTTTCACTGAAAATGAAAACCCATCTGTCTGGGTTTATTCGACAAAGGTAAAAGCAATATCTAATATCACACAGACCCAGGATTCTGCTAAACTACATATTATATTTCACTGACCTGCAGACAAGCCACTCCTATTCCCACAGCGCCGATGACCAGCAGGTGATTGGCCAGAAACTGCTCCAGCTTCGTGATGCAACCCCCCTGCAGAGGCAAATTAAAATGATAAATTAGATTATGCATACGATTGCACAGATAGACATACAGCTTGCATAGTCTTCAGAGCTTGCTTCGTCTGCAGCTCTCCATGGCTAACTGGCAAATGGTTGCAGTGAACAGTAAGACATCCTGCAGGGAACAAAAAATCCGAAGTTTGACATAAGTATAACACAGAGGAATGGATCATGGTAGATGGACTGTGTTTATATAGCGCTTTATCCTGTCTTTACTACCCCTCAAAGAAATATCTTTCACAATGCCTGTTTAATGTATAACGTAGTAGATGTGTTAAATCAAAGACCTTAACCCTAGCATACATATGAAACTAGGAATAAGGATTTTATAGAGAAAATAGCGCGAACTTGAAGTTACCAGCTTCAGTGTGGTCTGCAGAGGTCATCAAGTGTGGATTTAGAGTCACTGATAACACTATAAACATGTCTTTGTCAGTCTTTAAAAATTCCTTAAAGTGAAACGTGTTCAGCAAATATGTCAGAGATTGAATCGGTGAATGGCTGTACACTTCTAACAAGTTCACTTTCCTCTGAAATGCATTTTTATGCACCATACATTTCCCATATAACGTGACTGTGTTTATTATCTTAATTATTTTTAATCAAATGTTTAAACTGATGAATTCAACATTTTAGACCATTTAGTAGTAAGGGTTGGAGTAGTTTAGTCTGGTTTTTGGTTATTGTGGAGTATATTTTTGTAATGTTTCTGAACAATACACAATCTCTCTCAATTCTATATGTATTTATGATATGTATGTAAATACTGTCTGGGTTGTCAAGCTTCATATGGCAAATTGGGGTATCCCATTTCACAGGTCTCTATGACTTATGGTTGTATTATATTTAACAAACTTGTGAATAAATGATGATGACGAGTCATCATTCACACCGCATTCATACAAAGCAACTTGCTAGCTAGCATTCACAAACATGTGTTAGCCATGCCATCGGGAGCAACATGGAGTCAAGTATCTTTCCCAAGGATACATGGATGGAAACTGAAGGTATTGATATCAAATAGTATAAAAACGTTTAGGCAGCATGAATAAGCATTGGAAAGCTCAGTCATTTGATCAGATAAATGTTTCAAACTACAGGGCTTCTCTGTTGGTGTCACTATTTGGATGCTACATGAGTGTGACTGAAAAAGGAGCATGTGCAGTCCACTGACCTCCACCTTGTAGATGTTGGAGGGGTGGTCTCTGTTGCCACAGTGGGGGGTGATGGTCTTGCAGCAGCTGTCGGGCACCAGCCTGTCCCCGGCCTGCTTTGATGAAACGTACACACTCACCATCCAATCACTGGAGTTGTTGCTGCCGCAGCACTTGAACTGCAGGGAGAGAAAAAAAAGGGTTTATTTGATTATAGCCCACACTGTTAAAAAAGCACAAATACCTCCAGCTAAATCTCTACATCATTATAACTACTTCATGTATGGTAGCTGCAGACGGAGTCAAGGGAAACAAATCCATAACAAAGTACCACTACGCCATATATACCGGTATTCTATCTGAAGGACAGCGCATCATACAATCTAACATAAACCCAACAAAGCCTTGGAGGCTGGTGTAAATATAGTCCATACGTCCTGTTGTAGTCTGTCCACAGCCAAAGTGATAGCCTCCTGTCCTGGCTGGGCGTAGTTATCTGTCATAGTCTGGTTGAGATGCTGCTTCAGCTCCTCACTCAGCTGGAAAAGAGGAAAAAAGAGAGCGACAGCAGACACACACAGTGAAAAACACAATGAATGTTGTAACCACAAGCAGCTTCATTTATAACACAGGAAACACATCAAATGCAAACATTTGCAGGAGAAAAAGACTTTAAAGGCAGATGAAACTTGATGGATGTGTGGGTGGATCAGGACGAGATATACCAGTGGCAACTCATCTGTGAGAGATGCAGACGAGATACAAAAAAAAAAATCACAAAAAAGCCTGTGATGTGCGCATATTGGTGTGCTTTGATACACACACAGAAGAAGAACACGAGACAGATAGACAGGATGAGAGCTCTATCCTGACAGTGATTCTATCCTGTGCTGAACACTCTTCCATTATCATAAATCTCTGAGCCTGCAGAGAGCACGGCGCTCTGGCTGACTGACAGCCAGATGTGTGTGAGATAACAGGATCCTAAGAGCTGAATTCAGCGCAGGTGGCAAACAGGAAATCCCACACACATATAGTACAAAAGCTAAAAGATATCCTGTAGATTACCCAGTAGCTCATCAACATGTAGGGAAAGCTTTTCAAACAGATGAAAAATGACATAAAAATGTAATTAAGTTAGCTGACTTCACTTAAAACAGGAGGTTACATGAGCCCAGAAAACACATCAAACAAATGGATGTATCCATATAGTCTCATTGGTAGGCACATGGCATTGCTATCATCAAATGTAATGCGCCTGCATGGCAACTGTTCAGCTTCCTAACTCTTGGCCATAGAGAGGTGAAGAGAAACTGCTCTCTAACTGCAGAGCTTTTACTTTATTGCAGTAAGTGCTGCCCCTGTAACACTGTGGTTGGACCCCCCCTGTGGCCCCCCTCCAAAAGACTACATCTATGATAATGCAATGTGTGATAGTGTTGCAGACAATCCTGCGCTGTAACCTGGGACTAAGATAACAGGAATGTTTTTTTTTAGTTAAATATATTTAAACTAAGTTACTGAAACAAATGATGTTACTAAAACAAATACCAACCAATATTAAGAAATAAAAACACATTTGTCTGCATAAATAATGTATTTATTACCCCAAGCTGCATTTAGGTTCATGGTCAAACTAAACTTGTCACTAAGTCATTGACACAAATGATGTTACTAAAACAAACATTTCAAGTTGAAATCTTAAACACTATCTTTGTCTCCCTTGTCCAGCATTTAACGTGCCCCTCTCATTCAAAAACTGGCGCAAGCACGCCCCCCCCCCCCCAGTAAAGACGTGATCTACAACAGCCATTGTAACACACTAAACTAAAAAGCGATTCAAACGTTTTTTCAGAAAAAGTACCTAACTGATGTATTCTATCCGCTACCAAAAATAAAAGAATACTTACCCTCTGGTAGTAGACATAAGCCAGTACTCCAGCCACCAGTTCAATCAAGAAGATCACCAGCAGGCAGAAGAAATACTGTGAATGAGAACCAGGACGGACAGGGAGAGAGTACAAAAGGAAGCAATTCAATTCATTTGACAGAGGAAGTCACCTTGATCCAGGCATGTCAGCTTCATAGTCATCACCGCACTTCTCCACTGACCCAACTCATTTGAGAAAGTTGCTCACACTCGTGACGGCTCAATAAAAGCGTCCATCAACTGTCATGGCTCTGCATCTGTCACTTTTATCACAGATGGCAAGGCTCCACAAAAAGAGACAAAGCAGGAATGTATTTGACAGCCTGTGGAAGCAGATTTCTCTAGGGTATCTTCTAAAGATGTCAACGCTGCTTGAAACCCACTAATGATGTATCATAATTAACTGCAAATCACCGTCGCAGCAGAAACTAAATTAAGGTGATCTAAAACGTGAATCACCACAACACCACACATTCGTATTCTTGTGGAAAACAAGGAATAAAATGGTTTAATTACCTCATAAATAAGCGTCTGTGCCTCATCAGCTAAACACAGAATATTCAAAGAAAAAAACAAACAGTGGTGGCTCTAATTGCTTGGAAGCACAATTGTACGTACTGAAAAACAGAGAATACAGAACATGACAGATACAAGTTGTATAGTACTAACTATATACAGACTAAATAACACAATCACAAACTTTTTGAAAAATGGTTAATTACCGCACACAAACATGGGTCAACTAATAAGGGCCAACTGTGGCAGAGTGGGACCGTAGCAACGGTGCCGCTTCATTGAGACCCTTATGGAGACACAGATGCTACTACCCAGCCTGTGTGAGTTTGGAAAGCAGCGATGCTACACTACCTGTCAGACGATAATCTCTCTGAATTAATATGTAAGACACTTCAGCGAATGTTCCCTTCTGCTTTGCAGTAATTATGAACTGCAGAAACACAGCCTGCCCGGTAACTCTTGGTTACAAGATGTCAAAAAGAAATACTGTGAGCTTGCTGCCCACACAAAACTTTAACCCATACTTATTAATCTCCCAAAACATAGCTCTAAATAGTAGATAAATACAGCTGACATCAAACCAAAATGCACCACGGAGTCCAAATCCTCTACACATCAAGCTCTGTGTCCCTCCTCTAGCTCCATCCATTACAGCAGATAGAAAGATCTATAATTAGTCCTGCAGCAGTGACCATTAACCTCTCTCCCACTGGGCCCTGTCTCTGTGAAATAATGAGGACAGTAAGGTCCCTGTCAGAGCCATTTGTCATCATCCAGACCTTCGTCCAGGGCGGGAGTTGGGGGGGCGTCATGTTATGTCGTTGCATAGTTGGGAAGAGAAGGCAAAGCTTTGTTAACAAGAAGGCGAGCACCCAGCTAGCTTAATGTAACCATGGACTGGACCATCAGACTTTAACACATCTGTTGTAAAATGTCACTTATAATTATTATGTTTACTGGCTGCTATCTCTTGGCTAAACTATTTTAAAATGTAACACAATCTTCTGCATGCTACACTTATAAAATACTTATTGTTGTCCACCTGGATGGGTACAACTGTAATTTGTGTAATTTCTATCTCTAATATTTGATGCATAATTAATATGTTGCCTCTTTACTGTTGCTGTGACAACGTAAATGTCCCCATTATTATATTCTGATTCTGACATACATGATCATTTAAATAATATTACAGCTGCACAGTATTTCAAACGTGTGCAACTTGAGGAAACACCAACCTTTCTACATCAGTTCTAAGCAGAAAATAAAGAAAAAGGTAATTATTTGATTTTATACTAATTGCAATACAGTCCTGTCTATATATTAATCTTCATCATCTTTGTCAACATTAGAGATGCAGCCAACTTGTTCTAATAGAGATGACTCTCGTGTTCAGTGTGAGTACCCAGGTCATGGACCATCAATTGATCGACAGTGTGAGCATTAATGTCTGATAGTGATAACGTTTCATTCATCACTCAAGGTATGATGTGATACTACTGTATGTCCTAATATTAATTTGAAGTCATATCTTCCAAAGGACATGGCGATATGTGAATTCAGTCTCCAACCAAGAGTGCTTTTGACCAAGTTGCTAGAGACTGTTCAGTTACAGTGCAGCTAATAGGGACATTTATTATCACCTGCACATTGGAATTCTTACGGTACGTTCAACCGAACGCGAAGCGACAAAATCACCCCGCCTCAAAAGACACGGCCACACTTAATTCACGATAGTTACATTTGTTTAACTTGGGCGATAAATTAAAAGCCAATCAGCAGTGAGAATCTCAGCCTGTTGTCACTGACGTTGTTGAATCAAAAAAACAAAACACCGAATCTTGGCTCTGGGCGGCGGCACACAATCCTTCATATTTATCAGTATAGTTATTTCGGCATCAATTTGATTTGTGTATTAGAATTCAATCCTGGCATAATAAGTTCATTTTGTTGTTGGTGTCTACATGGAGAAAAGCCCCGCCTCCTCGCCAGTGCATCTAGTATGAATGACGCTAGTAAAGACAAATGATGCAGTGAAACTTGCACAATAAAGCGATGCAAATCTTCTCTTCTTGTCTAGTGTGCACCTTTAGAGCAAACAATTCTTTCTTTGTATAGAGTGGCGAAGTCCCTCCCCTTCCGGTGGACCTCCATGGGACCTTATTTCGGAAAAAATATGTATTGAAGTCAATGGAGAGAGAAAGATTATCTTTCGATCCCGTTTGAATTGTGCCACGAATTACACATATGATGTTTGTCAATTTAAAAGATAATGTTGCAACTCAAAACTCAAAAAAATGTGTCGTAAAACTGTGAAGTAACACATTTTTTTGTGTGAAACTCTCAATGAACTACATCTCTTGCACAACAACACACGTCACCAAGATGGCCGTCACTAATGTCTTGCCAAACAAGGGATTGACTCCCCTCACTATCACCACAATGAAACACGTCCAGGAGAATGTCATGCAAAGCTGCCTGCCTTCCTTTGATTCTCTCTGAACTGCTTGGTCTTTTTAATATTTAATGTCAACCATTTGTGCAGATAGCATGAAGTAGAAAAGATCGCCGATGCTAATGTAGTGTTAGCATTTCTCCCCCGGGCTTAAATGGTGTATTATAGAATGATCACACCGGTGTGACAGTACTCTTCAACGGCTTCACGAAATATGACTACTACTTACTGTGTAACATTTTGGGTTACTTAATGTTACTTCATATTAAGGATAATACAAATGACAAGGCTGTAATGCTAACTAACGTGCTCGCTACTAGCTAGGTAGCTAACTTGATCCAGCCACTCCTGGTCCTTTCATCAGACGGGAAGCGAAAGAACGAGCAACACCCATTGCTGGTATGATAACAACCTGGTACTAAGCACACAGGCATCTTGTTAAAGTTATCTTATCTTATCTTAGCCAGCGCCATATAGATAGACTATAATGGCGCTGATCTTAGCTATCTCTTAGTGGAGGAAAACAATTGTGACATCACTTACACGACTCTGGGATTTGTAGTCATTCTAGTTGCGTATTTTTCATAGTCTTATATTTCAACAGTTTTAAGACAAACTGTGACTTTTTTGACATGGAAATAATTTTTTAAGATTGACAAACATCATATGTGTAATTCGTGGCACAATTCAAACGGGATCGAAAGATACGTTTTCTCTCTCCATTGACTTCAATACATAATTTTTCTGAAATAAGTTCCCATGGACCGGAAGTAGATGGGCATGACTTCGCCACTCTATTGTACATTTGTAAGGGCAAAACATTACGTGCAACGTTTCTTTCTTCTTCTTTTGTTTTGTTTTAAAAAGGCATGAAAGAATTTGAAGATTTTAAACCAGCACTCTTGTGTTTGCAAAACTGTAAAAATTCCCATTCCATCGTCCCCAGGTCTCACCATGGACAGACAGCTCTTCTGCTCCCGGATGACGGCACAGCAGCCCAGGAAGCCGGTTACCACCACCATGCTGCCGGCCAGAATGAGGATGTATGCCGAGACAGCAAAAGTGCTGGAGGCCAGCAGACTCAAATAATCACTCTTCTCCACCAGTGTCCAGACTCCCACACCTAAAACAGCTACTCCTCCCACCTGGAAGAGAAAGGAAAGAGGAGGTGATGGGATTAAAACAATACTCAAATATAAATATAAAGAACACATACTATAAAACTGGGTGTAGCTTTTGGTTAAGGAAAATAAAACAATCTTGTGAGAACAATGATGGTCAGGAAGTGACAAATAGGAAGAGAGTTCAATGCTTGATGAGTCACAAAATGCAACAACATGAGGGCGCAGTGGGTGAATTACAAGGGACAGAGGAAATAGAAAGAGAAACAGGCAGAAGAGGCCATACATAAGGAATAACAGCCATAAGGGCAACAGCAGGCCTCTAAAAGGTCAAGTCAGGGCATAATGACCACTTCCTGACAAACAATCCTGAAACACAGACTTAGGGTGACGTCCAGGATCTGTTCCTCTCATCAGTGAGAGGCGGAACGAGAGGAAATGCCTCTCCCCTTAATCCTCCCAGTCCATTTCCGTCAAAAGCAGGATCCACAAACTCACAACAACACATGCTCAACCAAGAAGTACCGCTTAGATACTCACATGCCTGAGGGGGATTACTCTTTGGAATAATGAAAACTATCAAATGTTTTCAACCAGAGCTCCGAACGTGGGCAGAAGCATTCAAAATACTATTGTTTTAAAGTGCTTTTAAATAGGAAGACTTAGCTTTTTAAATCAAATCTAACTCCAGTATCAAAACCAGTTCTTCAACACAAATACTTATCATTTTAAATAGGGATGCATAAATCCAACATGTTCAATCAATCAATGTTTATTTATATAGCCCAATATCACAAATGTTACATTTATCTCAGTGGACTTCACAGTTTGTACAGAATATCAGTATGACAATACGACACCCTCTGTCCTTAGACCCTCACATCGTACAAGGAAACACTTCCAGAGAAAACCCACAGTTTAAAGGGAAAAATGGGAGAAACCTCGGGGAGAGCAACAGAGGAGGGATCCCTCTCCCAGGACGGACAGACGTGCAATACGTAGATGCCGTGTGTAAATTGAAAATATAATACATGTGTGTTGCGTCCGTATCAAAGTGGATAGCCATCATATTGAGAAAGATGTTTTGAATAAGGATCTTTGTTGAAACTAATAAAAGCCAGCAATGTCCCAAACATGTGATATTAGGGTAATAATTAAGTAAAGTACCAAGGGCAAAAGAGGAGATGGAGACAATGGCTAAATCTAAATGTCAAGATTTCACTGCCTTGCAGGCTTTAGGGCACGTTGCCAGGAAGTCTGCAAGTGCTGAGTGCTGTCCAAATCCACAATTCATCCAGTCCACAACTGGCCTCAGGCGAACTGTCTGCAGACATCTAGAGAATGCCATTGGGTGCAGAATTCAACACACTTCCCTCATTTAACTACTCTCAACATTAGCAAAATGGAAGAGGGAGAAAAGAACACTTCCTAGTATAGCAATCTGGAATAGAGAAGACAGGAAAATAAGGCAGTGGCAAGTTTACAGATGAATGGCATAGAATGCAAAGATACAAAAACAATACTTTTTATGTTCCGACTACTTTACGTTTTTTTCCAATTTCAGACCAAAACAATCAACAGTATTACTCGTAAAACAAGCAAGCAGACTCGATGTGATGATGGTGAACACGTCCCAGTGAGTCCTTAGGCTGGACATTTGCAGTCAGCCATTTTGTTTCCTCAAGGGATGAATTTTAAGGAGGTGACAGAGCGTAGCCCAAGCATGAGGGTAAAGCCTGATCCTTTTCCTCTGTTTAACCTCCACCACAGACTGATCTGCCTCCGTCCCTCTTCATCCCGGTACTCTCTTTGCCTTTCTTTGAACGTTTTAAAGCGACACAACAAACTCTGTACATTAGCTGTAAGAGCACACGCTTTCTGCAGCAAATTGCGTGTGGTGCCAGAGAGCAAGACTGTTCCCCATCGTACAGAGCCTTTAATAATCTATGACTCACTTTGGGCCGAGTCCATAGATCAGCCTTTTTGATCTCAGATCTCTGGTTTATTCCCTCCCTGTTTCCCTCTAATGCCTCTACGCATGCAATGTTTAAAGGAACATCTTTACTATATTATAGCAAACATTTGGATTTCCCTTTCAATAAACATGTCTGGTGTAGGGCTGTACCCGAATATCCGAATATTCGTTCGTTGGAGTACTATTCGGGTTTCAATTTCGTTATTCGAATATTCGTGTTTTTTTTTCCCCATTTTTTTTGGCAGCCGCATTGAATTTATTGAAATTTCCAATATCAACGTAAGAGCTTGTGCCTCTTCGGGGGGTGCCAACGCTATCAGTGCATGACATTAAGGATTTTGGGAGATGGCCCTGTGGGCCATCTAAGCTAATTTACAGATGGCCCTGAGCCCAATAGAGATTGCCCTGAAAAATGCGCAAGGACGACATGACGCACGAAGGGTTTGGGGGGCCTCCCCCTAGAACATTTGCAACATTTAGATGCAGGTCATAGATGCTGTCTGGTGCATTCTCTAGACTGAATTATAAGATGAACCACCACAATATTATATTGTACAATTTCAATTGTATTCTTCATTTCACTTGTTTGTTTGTTCTTGTTTGTGTTTGCTCGCTTGCATAGCTATAAGAAATACTTAAGTTGTTGGTCAAGACACTTTCCATCTGATGAAGGCAAATGCCTTCCCAGATGTAAAAAAGTAGAAAACATTACATTCAGTTATAACTGCCAAAACAAACATTATTTACACTATTATGGCCCCTGTTAAAAATGTTTGTAATGTTATCTATTGTAAGTTGGTCGAACGAATGCCTCCTCATCCGGAAGCTGACCGAGCAGACCCGAGCAGACCCGAGCAGCAGTCGAGAGGAGCCGAGCGCATCCGCGAAGCACACAAAATGGAGACGTCAGAGTTCCCGTTAGCCGGCAAATCTAAATCTCTTCGGTCAAAATGTCCGGTCAAAATAATTTGCCTTTAGCGCAATACCGCTTCAGTTGCGCCACTTATGTGACAGACAAGAAGAGTATGTGACATACAAGAATAGTCAATTCTAATGTCTAACACTTAATGTGGAGAAAGAGATGTCCTGTATGGGTTGATTGTGCGTTGATCTGTTGGTAATGCCTCGGGGTTCCGGTGGGCATGTAAACAAATGCATAATGCTGCGCTATACTTTGTGGCCTCACCCAGTTGCATAGCGACACTTATTGTTTAGGTGTCTTTTAATAAGCAGGTAGTCATATCATTAGCTAGAACTAGCTGGATCTGATCGATATGGGCATAAACGCGAGTGAAGTCTAATCTGACGGGAGAGAGAGATCAGCTGCTGCTGACGAGTCGAGACTCGACACGCAGCTCTGCATGATCACATGCAGCGGTGAGCGGACAAAACGCACACTTCAGGTTAGAATATCACACGTAGCTATTTTAATTACCTCTCAAACTACCTAAACTAGTTATAGATATGTTTAGTTTTACTGTCGGGTCACTCATTACTGGATCAGCGAGCTGCATGATACTGGCATAATAGATTGCCCGATCGGGCAACCAGCAGGTGAGGCTTCATTGCCCGAGCTAAATACTAGATGGCCCCGGGCCATCGGGCAGTCGTTAATGGCGAGCCCTGGCTATTGTTTACTTCCTCCGTCTTTATATGTACTTCACGTTGTTTCCATAGCAACAACAACTTCCTGTCAACAGCGCTAACTCTCCTTCAAAATAAAAGCATGTCCATACAAAATAGGAAGCCAAGCCAAATTACACTTAAGATACAACTGCAACGAAAGTAACACACACACAATGCAGTATCCTTTTCAATTTCAAAGAACACAAATTGGGTTATATACATTAACAAATAACTATAAAACAACAATACTGTAGAATAACAAAATGAATGCCGTGAATAAACCGAAATACACGTGCTGAAGCGGTTCGCAGCTAATTACTACGCATTCCCCCCCCCCTCCCCCCTCCCGCGCGGGCCGAATATCCGAATATTCACTGCTGATTACTACCGAATATCCGGAGCCCGAAAATGTTTATTCGGGACAGCCCTAGTCTGGTGATAAAGCTGGAATCACTGTATCTATTTAAAAACGTAATGTAACTATTACAGTCACTCTGAGACCTAGACAAGGATTAATTGAAATGTTGTGTCACGCTGTGTGAGTATAGTACATTGGTAGTAAACTCAAGTCGATAGAGGAAAAAATTATGTGTTTGTGAGTACTACATGTACAGCTGTTACTTACCCAGAAGAGAAAGTTGAAAACAAAGAGCAGGTACTTGAGACACACCGTCAGCCAGTCCGCCTCTTCATCTTTATAAACTGCCGTCATCTTCCTTCAGTTCAATCCTGAAAGTGCAGTTACAAGAGGATCATGGGAAATATACAATTACACAGCAAACAGATTGGATCCTTGCTTGAATAGCTTACACTAAACAACACTTTTCAGTCAGCATATTGCGCAGGAAAAGAACAAAAACATGTATTGGAAATATTGTCTCAGATTTATGAAGTTTGACTCTGCAAGGATTGTGGTCAATAATGAGCCATTTTCCAGACTGACCACAATTATCCATTTAACACCAAAACATCAAGGGTTCATAATTAACTGTAAATCTCAAACTAATAGTTTAACTGTCTGTTTGGTAACAAAGTATTCCAAAAACAATGTGAAAATGAATTTGAAGTGTTAATATTTCTAATATTGCCGAAATCTAAAGTCAGAATACAACTCAATTTCTATCCTTTATATATTACTCAAGTTTTGTTTTAGCAACCAAAATGCTTTAGGTCTTACCTGGGGCAAAGTTAAAATAAATATATTGTAAAAGACAGGTAACTACAGCATTCAAATGAGTCAGGCGGGGGGGGGGGGGGGGAACACACTCATCTCAAGTATTGTCATTAAAGAGCTCTGCGTGAAATGTGTATGGAGTTTAGGGCTGTGCAATTAATCGTATTTTAATCGCGATTACGATTATGGCTTGCGACGATTATGAAAACAGCATAATTGACAAAATACGATTATTTTGCTGGGTGCGCTTTCGCCCCTCCCTAAAAGCCCACTCGGCCACGTAGGAGTGATATGTGTTGTGAGTGTTCAGCGCAAGCGCAGATGTCAGAACAAGAGCAGCAACTCGTTAAAAAGAAGGGTACAACTATTTCCACTATTTGGAAGTACTTTGGCTTTCAGGAGTCCGACGTGGAGCAAAAGAAAGTACAGTGCAGGATTTGTTACCAGGTTGTGTTGGCACCACACACTAACACAACCAATCTCTTTAATCATCTGAAATACAACCACAAAGTGCAATACGACCGGGCGATAATACAACAAAAAGCAGATGCCGCTCGACTTCATTCACAACATCATCACAGTCATCGATTCAGGACGCATTGTACAGAGCGACGGCCTACGCGACGAGCTCGCAGAGACACAGAGATATTACAGGTGCCATTACATTTCACATCGCTAAAGATATGTGCCCAGTTAGCACTGTTAGCAACCAGGGCTTTAAGCAACTTGTCAACACGTTGGACAAGCGTTACGCGATGCCGTCTCGGTATTATTTCATTCGGTATTATGTGACAAATGCCGTGGGGAAGTTGAGAGAGATGTGGCTTCAGCTGACTACTTTGCCACCACAACGGACCTATGGTCTAGCCCAGGGGTGCCCAACCAGTCGATCGCGAGATGTGTCTAAAAATAGAACAACAATATTCTGTTTTATCGTTAATGTCCTGTAACATAATCTTCCTGTGCCAGAATAATGCACTTGAATGCATCAAAGCTTTGTGATTGGCCGGCGTTACCCCTGTGTCAGGGCGTGGCTGAGAGTCTTCAGTACAGGTGGCAATATTGTCACCTGCCTGCGCTCATCTCTGAAACCAGACCATGTAAACAGGCTGGTGTTTCTTGCAAAACATCTTTAAGAGATGAAATGAGCAGCCCTACCAGCATTTGCCATGGTGGCCAAAACATTTTTATTTGGTCTTAAATTGTAGTTCAACATTTATTTCCTGTTACTTCTGGACCATGACGGTTGGCCAGCCTTCAACGTTTAACTGAGTGGAATATGTAGAATATGTTGAACCAAAATGTTGGCTATATGTTAAGGAGTTTTCAGTAGGTTGTGACAGTGCACTGCAACATGTTTGATTTCATTTATTTTGGTCTAATTTATTTGTATGTATCATATTAATAATATATGTTTAGTATGGTTTTGGAAGTGCGCTCCAACATATTTGTTGATCTTGTTTATTGGTAAAATATTATTTGTTTTAAAGTTCAATAAATGGTCAATGAATAATCCTCAAAATAATCGTGATATCAATTATTGACCCAAATAATCGTGATTATGATTTTTGCCATAATCGCACAGCCCTAATGGAGTTTGTTTGCCAAAAGAATACATCTGGCTGACAAATGTCACAACAAAAGCAACATCTCAGCAGGAACACCAAGTTGCTTTCTCAGCATTTACAGTTTACCGTGAAGTGAAATAAGCTACAAAAATTAAAATGCTCTTCTTCTCACATTTGTAGGACTCTTTACAGCACATATCTCCCAGCTGATCACACAGTAGTATCAAATAGCTGTCTCAAAGGGCATTTAAGTTTGACTATTAAAACAATTAATCATTCTTACAAGTATGCCACTGCAAATGTTGGATGTGAATTTTAACTCCATCTGCTATACATTTACTATGTATAGCAGATGTTGCTAATGGGTAAAGTGTTGCAGCCTCCGAGGTATACAATATAAACTTCTCTTATTATGGCCATACATGTAAAAATATTCATAGCACTGAACAGGCCATAAAACTTTTAATCTTTAATTGAGATGAGCAGTTTCATGTCTGTAAATAAAAGGCCATGGGTGGGAAGCACTTAGACGACTTAGACCCATAACATTGATCTGCAGGGTGTCTCCCCAGTGAATCCACCAAAGGTAATGGTGCAGGTTTTGTGATTGTTGTCCATGGAGTCATGCAGCAGCTCCAGTCCTTTACATATGACAGTAGAGGCTGCTGTTGTTTTTGTCATTGTTGTGAGAACCACAAAACAAGTGTTCCTATTGGACCCTAAGGCCCTAAGATAAAGTATAGTTTATGTCCACTTGATTAGTCCACCTGTGGCTGATTTTAGCTAATGTTAGCTTTGTTACTTAAAAGAAAAAAAGCTAAACAAACAGAAATGGTCTTGAATGTTGCTTAGGGAAGAAGCATGCGGTTTACCTAATAGCCTACTAGTCAAGTTATGTCATAATTATTTTTCAATTTGATGTTTGAAAACTACGGAAGAGGATTAGGGCCACATGAGGATTTGGGATGCGACTGTAATCTCAGAATACATAGAAAAAGTAAATTGAGAGGAAAAAAAATACTTGTTTTTTTCCTGAAACTCTCAGAATTATTTGTTTATAGTCATATCTGACTTTTTCATAGAATTCTGACTTTAAATTAAGAACAAAAAAAACTGAATATATAATATAGCATAGGTAACAGGTGAATTAGCACGTGAGCTAATTTAGCAAGGCTCTTCTGTGACAGTTTCCCGTCCAGATGCGTTCACTGGCAATGTCAGATAACTTTACCGCTACGAAGGTTTCTTCTATGACACATGCCTTGGGGATGACGGACTTTGACCACAGCAGGTTTCCTCTAGTCTCCAGCAGGCCATAACTCAGGCTAATATGCCTCTTTTTACGCTTTGGGACACACTTCCCTGACTCCTTTTACAAGGCGGGGTGTATGCTCGAGCATCCTGGTGATGATCCTTCGAGAAAAAACATTCCTCCACCTGCGTCGTTGATGCGCAGGACAAAGTTTAACCTGATAACCTTAGCGTCACATTGCTAAACCAACATTTTCGTAACGTAGGTGAAGAACATACTCACCACACCAGGGTTTAGTGAAGATAGATAGCCTCTTTTTGTTGTGTTTCCCGTTAATTCACAGTGTGTGTCGCTGCAGCAGGGGCGTGTTGTCCAGTAGCTTGTTGCTCTCAGGCTTCAGGGGGTCCGACAGCAGGGCTGTGTGCATGACGCCTTTGGGTGCAGCTCGGATTTTCAAATTCGATAAGCATTACAGGACTCTTGCTCTCAATAATAGTCGCGCACGCAGCAACCATAGAGATATAGAAGTAGCTTTTCTCGCTTTACATTTTAAGACTGTTCTGAAGTTTTTTTATTTCAATGCAAACAAAGAGAATATATACTTTGAACAAATTGTACTACTGCCTAATTTTCCAGGGAGACGATAAAAACATGTATTTGATGCAAATGCAAGTTACAGCAAGGTCATAATAAACCCCCATTTAATTTGCAATACAATATAAATATGTTCATGTAAATAGATAAAGAGCAACATATGTCAGTTAGCCTATATTGTTAGCCTAAGGTATATTTTTGGGATATTTAAATATAAGAAAATGCAAATAATGTCAAGTGTAATGTTGGAAGGGTTTTATTAACTCATGGCTAAATACGTAAGATATAAATAAATCAGGCTCTTTGAATTGTTGAAAACATAGACGTGTGAATTGACTTCTACTTCACGATCATTATCAGATTTCTGATAGTCAGCACAGTGTGAACTTGTGGAAAGGGTCACAGTGACAGTAAAGGAAATGGAGTTGCTACCCTTAACCACAAGATGGGCTGAATACCATGTGCCATTAATAACGGCATAACCTTGGTTACAATGTAACCAAATACCACAGGAACAGTTTCTCAATGAGGTCTAGATGAATAAACAGAGATAAAGAGGGAGGAAACGCAGTCACTTGGTGTGTGTGGCTTCTTGCAATGCTAGTTTGTACATAAATAACTGTCTATGAATGCATTTACAGTTGAAGCCCTTATTGTTGATTTATGTATATGATTGTTATAATTTCATAAAAGCCAAATATTATCTTCTAAATAAAGTCAATGAAATGGTCTCTGTCCCATTTTGTTTTTGTATGAATTCCCATCACAACTTCCTCTCGGATAATTGACTATGTTGTTGCCTCTTTTTTCCACCTCAGTAATTCAATAAGCTTGCAAGCTATCAGGAGTATTGTGTCTCAAGTGGGAGGAACTCTGCAGTGGACACCTGGACTGGAGACAATCAGTCTACCAAAACAACATTACAGAAGATGTGATCCATAGTTTGCCATTGTAATGATCATTCTACCTGAACAAAATGAAAGCACAGAATATCATCGTGCTGTGGGAATTTGGACATTGTCTGTTTTCCATTTCCTCATATTTGCATAGGCGACACATGGTAGAACAAACAGAAATGTGGTTTCACCGAATGCCAATTCTATGACTAGCCAGAGCCTCGGTGTCCAGTCATATTCTCCTGTAGTTAGTTTGTGGCCCGATAATGCTTTCTCCCACAAGAGCAGGCCATGACTGACTGATCATGCATGCGAAACACAAAATGGTTGAGGGGAAAGCTAACATAATGTGCATCAGTGTGTGCATGTGTGATTGTATGAGACACAAAGACAATAATGATGTGTCAAAAAAGAAAAACAACAAAACCTGCACACTTTTGCATCATTCATTAAAAGTTCAATATTGTATTTGACTGATTTTAAGCATCTGTTTGCTTGGATTTGTGCTTGTCTTTTTAGATGGACAGCATGGTGTTTGTCCCATTGTGAACGTTTTATATAAAGTTAATAATTGGTTAGAATACTTGAAGATAATATAGGTAAATACAATGTTCTTTCTTGAGCGCTATTCTTTTATCAAAATGACTTAAGACTTAATAACAGAGAGATAGTATGTTTTAAAATTGTATATGTTTTGTTTGAAAAGTTAAACCAGTAATTACAGGTTAAACTCCCAGAAGTAAAAGTGCAATGGTGTAAAGTTTGTCACTCAGCTTGTGCTTGTTGTGGCTGACCTCTTGTGGCCAGACTCACCTGGAGGCCACATGACTGCATCCTCAAAAAGAGCAACTGGGGAACATCTTTAGAATGTGTGTGTGTGTGTGTGTGTGTGTGTGTGTGTGTGTGTGTGTGTGTGTGTGTGTGTGTGTGTGTGTGTGTGTGTGGTGTGGTGTGTGTGTGCGTGTGCGTGTGGTGTGCGTGTGCGTGTGTGTGTGTGTGTGTGTGTGGTGTGGTGTGTGTGTGTGTGTGTGTGTGTGTGTGTGTGTGTGTGTGTGCGTGTGTGTGTGATAGGAAAAAGCCATGATGGACTTACAGTATAATTATTATTCACAAGTAATGCTCACATTGGCTATGATATTCTCTATTTGTGTGATCAACAAAGATGTTTCCTTGGGTTGTTTACAGGGTTGAGAGAGTTGCTTGAAAACTGTAATCCTTTACAATTGCTAGTTATATATACATTTAAAAAAATCAGTAACATAATCTAAGTATCACAATATGAAAGTAATGTCACCTAAATACTTTGTCGCTACTTTTTGGTTACCTCATTATCAAATGCAATGCAATATATAAAAGAGAAAATAAATAACAATAAGATGTTTTTTATTTTATTTAAAGCAACAAAACAATATGTTCTTAGAAAAAGAATAAACCAAGATATTTAGTATAAAAAATGTGTCATCTTAAATTAAAGGCAAGGCCCAAAGAATAGTTTACTAATGCTGTTATTAGTTTAAAACATTTATTAAATGCAAACACAGTATGTATGTGTATTTAATCAAGTGTCCACCTACTGCATTCAAACTAAAAAGTATGTTTGATAAATTGATATTTATTTCAAAATGTATTATAATGTTGTAGTCCTTCTAGTTATCCCCATTTTTGAAAAATGTACAAAGTAATCAGATTTTTGAATGTAACTGTCAGGGAATACAGTTTTTTTTGTATCCTAATTACGTTATCCGTTACACCCACAACCGGGTCGTTAATTAACTCTATCACAGAATAAAATTCATGACTGTAAACATTTGGAGAGTGTAAATGTGGTTGTAGCTAATCTCATACAAATGTAACAAATGGTTTAACATGATAAATATTATAAAATGTGGCTTTGTCATAAGCTACTGCTCTGAGTTTGCACTTTAGCACTGTGACTCAATAGAGATGCTAGCATAATGTTTCTCTTCTCCTCATGAAATAGGATGAGATAAAATAACTCCCTGCTAATAAAGTTGCAAAAATCAATATGAAGAATCTGATGTTTATAAGCTGCTTAGTTTTTGCAACAGTCCCTGTAAATATACAAAACTTGTACAGTTTTCTAGACTAAACATGAGTAAATTATCCTAAGTTAAAAACAATACGAGGTAACCATTCAGTTGTTAACATATGTATGTCGATATTAAATGTCTATATTGTTTTGCAGTTTACGGTAAATGTTTGCACGGAACTATTTGTAAACAGCGTGTTTCATGACGGACACACATAGCGTTGGGTAGGTCAGGTAGGGCAGCACGTGAAGGCTCAAATCCAAACCACACCCTACCCTCTCCCCCTCCTTTCAGGTGGAGGGTGTAAATGGATTTTGGGACGAACTTGAAGTCAGGTGCGATGCAGACTCGCAGCTCAACACTTGGTGGTTTGGAACAGCACTTAATGTGGCGGACCCTCCGCGCGAACGGAAGGGTAGTGTGTGTAGGGGGCGGTTTGGAATTGGACCTAAAGAGTTACATTTAAGCGGGAAGTGTAAACTCCCAGAGCAGGGTGGGGGAGGCTTTTGCTGAAACGAAACTCAACCAGGAGTTCAGGACAAGCTTTCAAAGAGCACAGCTGCTTTTTAACCTGCTACTTTACAGGTAAGAGATTAATATTATTATAGAGGAAGATGAACATGGTGTATTTGTATAGCGAATCATTTTATTGTAAGTGTTGTATTACTTTTTGTGCAGAAATGGCCACTGCCAGTAGTCTGATGTCCGAGGAGAAGTTCCGATGTGCTGTCTGCCTGGAAGTGTTCACTAAGCCAGTTACAACGCCATGTGGACACAATTTCTGCTCTGCATGTATCTACAAGTATTGGGATGGCAATGATATTTGCAAGTGTCCACTGTGCCAAAGAACATTCTCTCAAAGACCTGAACTACACGTCAACACCTTTGTGTCTGAGTTAGCTGCAGAGTTTAAGACGTTAGTTCAAATCAAAGCCTCAGCAGCAGACCCCACACTTCCTGGAACAGCAGCCGTTCTTTGTGATGTCTGCTCTGAGATGAAGGGAAACGCAGTTAAATCCTGCCTGACGTGTTTAATGTCTTTCTGTGAAGTGCACCTCGAGCCACACCAGAGAGTTGCTACTATCAAGAGCCACACACTGTTAGACCCGGTGAATAATCTTGAAGACAGGATGTGCAAAGTGCACAACAAGATAACAGAACTGTACTGTAGGACTGACCAGGCCTGTGTTTGTGTCTTGTGTATAATAATCCATCACAAGACTCACGATGTTGTCCCGATAGAGGAAGAATTTGAAGTAACGATGGCAAAAAAAGACGAGACCATAGCAAATCTCAAAAAGATGATACAATCCCGGTCCGAGAAGATTGCTGAGATAGAAAGCTCAGTTGATGAGAGCCAGAAAGAAGCAGAGAGAGAGAAAGAAGCCAGTGTGCAGGTCTTCAGCGACTTGATCAGATCCCTTCAGAGAAACCAGGCGGAGCTTGTTGAGGTGATTGAGGAGAGGTTCAGAGCAACAAAGCAGAAGGCTGACGGCTTTCTCACAGATCTGAGGATGGAAGTTGCTGATCTCCAGAGCAGGAGCATCCAGCTGGAGCAGCTGTCACAGTCGGAGGATCACTATCAATGTGTTCAGACTTTCCAAACCCTGTGCTCTCCTTTAAACAAGGACCGGACCAACGTCGGTGTCCACTGCCATCTGTCCTTCCAGGCAGTGAGAGGTGCTGTGGGTCTGCTGAAACAGAACACTGATCAGATAGTGGAGGAGCTTCAAAATGAGATCAAGATGAAAAGAATGAGAGAACATGCAGTGGACTTGACCTTTGACCCTGACACAGCACATTGCTCACTGATCATAAGCCAGGATGGGAAACAGGTGGAAGATGCAGGAACAGAGCAGATTCTTCCCTCCAATCCAAAGAGATTTGAAGTGTATCCAGAAGTGTTGTCAAAGGAGGGGTTTACAGCAGGGAAGCTTTACTATGAGGTGCAAGTGAAGGGACAAACTCAGTGGATTGTTGGAGTGGTGAGAGAGTCCTATGAAAGAAAGAAGACCATAAGTATGTCAGTAGAAGATGGTGGCTGGGCCATTGAGCTTCATGAGGGATCATACAGTGCATTAACATCACCAATAGTTAAAATGACACTGAAAGAAGAGCTTCAGAAGCTGGGCGTCTTTGTGGACTATGATCAGGGAGTGGTTTCTTTCTACGACGTGAACTCTAAATCACAAATACATTCATATACCGGCTTCCACTTTACAGAGAAAATGTATCCATACTTCTACGTTTACAAAAACAACAATGGAACAAACTCTGCTCCTCTCATCATAACCCCTGTACTGCAAACAGACTGAGTTCATTACTTCTTTAAAGACCACAGAAAGCACTGGTCTCAAATCAGTTAACACCTCTTATTATCTAAATAGCATATATCTAAATTACATGTATTATCTAAATGACTTTCAATCCATGGTGGATATGTGAAAGAAGTAAGACACTGCTTCATCATTAGCATTTCCTGCCTCTCTTTACTGTATGTGTGTAGATGTAAACTAATGTTGTCAGATCCTGTTCTATCACAAGGGTTAAGGTTATCAATGTCATTTTACTTTTAAGACATTTCACTGATAAAATAAGTTAAATGCAGTCAAATGTAACATTCCTGCAAAATGATATGTTGTTTTTGGCCACTTTAATCGAGACATTATAAATACAACTACTTCCCTGGCTATGATTCATCATAAGGAGAATCACTAAACGGGACGTTACTGGAAATAAATCTGTATATATTCTTAATGTTGTTTTCTGTGAACTAATTATGTAGTCACAATATTAAAGTGATCTTTGTGAAGCATTTGAACAACTCTTGCTCATTGATGTTCTCCTATAGAGAAAAAGGATGAATTTACAAGCTCTAATTGGAGCGTCTGTATTTCAGGGCCTGAACACAAAAGAGAGACAGCTGTTTGAATGTGGGACATTAAAGTAATTCAACTAAATCTGCTCTCTCTTTTAAGGCCATCACACATTGTATATGCTTCCAGCTGATCTTAAAACCTGCTTAGATTTTCACACTTGTTCCCTTAGCGCAGGGGTGGGGAACCTCCGGCCCCCGGGCCGTATACGGCCCGCGAGACCATTTGGTATGGCCCTCGAGGTAATTTATAAACACACGCAAAAAAGAAAAAAATTAAAGAAATCTAGACCGGAAAATAATTAAACAAGCGAGTGCCTGTTCTGGCAACGGTCATGGTCCTTGAACACAACACGAGCCTAACGTGTCATCACGTGGTATATGTCTCGTCTGACGGGGGTGCAGTTCTGACGGAGAGCACCAGAACGCCGCTCCGGGACTTCAAAAAATGGCAGTACCCATAAATCCGTACTGGTCCGTACCATGGTCCGTACACATGCTGCAGTTTTTGTGTGGCTGTGTCTTTAGTTGTGAGCCCAGTGGCGATCTGTTCATCATACTGATCATACAGTCAATACCTTTGTTGTTATTAGCATTTGGTTAGCTAGCTATGCTAACGAATATAAGAAGCTTTTTCCACAACCAGTGAGGTAAAGGCACATCTTTATATGATCATTATAGTTATCAAAAAATAAGAGAATAAAGTAAACAGGTATAAAATACTATGTGACAGTAAAAAAAAGTTGTTATTAATAAACAAGAATACAGTTTGAAAGGAGTGATTTGTAAAATATCCATAAAGAAAAAGTAAATCTGCTTCCAGTTATGTTTAAAATGGGTGTTGAGAGATATTTCCATAGATCTCTTCATTTTGCTCTCAAAGTGCACCAGATTGATGCTTTCAACTTCAATATTTAAAAATAAATCTTCCCGGGGGAGCATACCCCCCCCGGACCCTCCTAGAGGAGGTTAGGTCCCCCCCCCACTTAAATCATGTCCACATGGATAGGAAACTAAATACATTTGCACACATCTTGTGTCCATATCTTTCTGTTTGGTGATCATGCCACAACCGTGCACGTGCATGCATGCGCGAGTCATGGCAAGATATCTGGATTAAGAGGTTGCTTTTTCTTTGCCCAGCATGAAAGAAAGGCCAAATGAAATGGGCTGTGATTTTTAAGCAGAGGTCAATAATTTGTGCGGCCCTCGGAGGATGTTGAAAAAATTGAAATGGCCCTTGAGAGGAAAAAGGTTCCCCACCCCTGCCTTAGCGCATAAAACGCATTCCAGGTAACCAGTCTTGCCAACATTCTGTAATATGAGATGTTAGTTTAAATAAATTGTAAAATTATATTTATATTGACATCATTTTTATATTTTATACATCTGTATTTTATTCAGTTTGAATTGTTAAAGTGATAGTTACTAGGAGATGTTTTAATGTGTGTTAGACTGCAGATGGAAACTATCTGGCACATGGCATCTCTTCTCTTTTTGGTGTGTGTGATGCACTGGCTGCACACATCATCCTCGAGTGTGATGCGTGGGCCGATGTTCTTAAGCACCACGGAAGGAGCTCATCCATGACTAACACCTGGTGTATTTGTGATTCAAGCCCATTTTTCTGAGTGACAAATGTCTTGTTATATTTTTCAGAGAAGCTTTTGACACAGCACGAAATGAGTCAAAAATGAAATGGAGGTGTAGACAGCGTGAAAATGGAAATCAAACATCTAGAAGTAGGATATATTAAACAGAATTTTCAGGCGGAAGGCAGCATGTAGTGTGGATATGAATGCAACATTATGTAGTGAGAATTCAAAATGGATAATACACGTATGTCTTCTTTTCATTGCATTTTCACAAAGATGAGGTATTCCAGCAACAACAAAAACATTTCATTCCTGACAGACGGATAGACTGTCAATAGTGTCATCAGGTGGAAAATGGAAATACAATTATAAGGGAGACTTTATAGAGTGGTGCAGTCCTAAAACCCGGAAGTAAGCTGCTTTCGGTTCCCTCGACAAATAAGCAATGCAATTTCTCCATAGGATTTTGGAAAATAGCTCGAAATAAGGTCTGTGGTGGACACAAAATTCAGACACGGATCACGTTTTGTTCAGTCGGATAATCTCCACATGTCTACCATACTTTTATAATTTTCAAATCATAAATCTAATCGATAGATTTATGATTCGAGCTATTTTCCAAAATCCTATATGGAGAAATTGCATTTCTTATTCGTCAAGGGAACCGGAAGCAGCTTACTTCCGGGTTTTAGGACGCGTCACTGCATCACTCTATATAGCATGAAAAAACAGGGGCAGCACATTTTGGAAAAGCTGTTGAAATTACCAATCGTGATGCTGTCTTTGGATTCAAAGTGCAAGCTTTTTGTACGTTGAGCCACCACAGAACAATAAGATTCAGAATTCTTCAGTGTCCATCACATTTACATATAATGGAAATGTGTCTTTGGCACTGGCAAATAAGATAAAATAACACTCACTATAAACAGTACAACGTACAATTCATACACACAAAAAGAGGGAAATTGCAACCTAAAGTGACTAAGTGGCAGTGTAGTAGAGAACTAGAGATAACTCAGTGTTGGCACTAGTTTTGTGTCTAGGTTCACCCAGGTGTGTCGGCCAGAACACCAGAATAGATGAAATGAGGAGCTAAGATGAGGCTTGACTTCTTTACTTATTTAGGCAGATACAGATATTTGTCTGTGTGTGGTTTTTCGTTCATTTACGTACACAATACGAAACTTAAGACGGCATAACTTTCCCGCAACTACTGACGCACATTATATGGAAGCAAACAAGAGACAGAAGTATTTGAATTGTATTAGACACCGAATTTATAGCATTGAAAATAATTACTTTGAAAATCATGTATCTGAATGTTTTTGCTACGTGCTACGTGCCACCCTGTCAGAGAGCAGAAGTGCGTCCCTTCTCCGGGCGGTTCACAGGCTGCGACAGGGGGCGACAGTGACAGCTTTAACTGTCATGCAGACTTTGAGTCTCATGGCGGCTGCTCACATTGTGGTCCCGCTGGGGTTACTGCATATGCGCCGCCTGCAGAGCAGGGTCGGCGCCAGGGGGGAGCTAGGGGGTGCTGAAGCACCCCCCAGGATTGCCAAAGCACCCCCAAGAAATATGTTTGTTTTTTTCGAAAATTATTATTATTTTTATTAAATTAGAAATATTATTGATTACATCAATGCAAATGTGAAACAAACACATTTTTTACCAAAAACATAAAGCCAACACAGGTGATATGATTAGGCCAATGGCCAGCACCCATTCGATTTTTGACCTACCCATAGGCTAAATTACTTTGACACTTGAGTGACTTCCTGTTAGCTAGAGCACCAAATTATTTGCTAACAGCAAAGTGAAAGATGGATCGTTTTTTAGTCCTTAAACGTCCACGTGTGGTGTGTGGTGTGTGTGTGTGTGTGTGTGTGTGTGTGTGTGTGTGTGTGTGTGTGTGTGTGTGTGTGTGTGTGTGTGTGTGTGTGTGTGTGTGTGTGTGTGTGTGTGTGTGTGTGTGTGTGATGTGTGTGTGTGTGTGTGTGTGTGTGTGTGTGTGTGTGTGTGTGTGTGTGTGTGTGTGTGTGTGTGTGTGATGTGTGTGTGTGTGTGTGTGTGGCACGAGCCATTTTGTGTGTGTGTGCGCGAGCGAGAGAGAGATATCTACCGGAGATCGTTGTGGTTAGCATCTGGTGCTAGCTAGCCAAGCTAACGGATATAAGGAGCTTTTTCAACAACAAGGTGGAGGGAGAACTCTCTCCTGTCAGACGGAGAGTCTCAGATAACCTCAGCTCAGGTGAAGTAAAGGGCTCTCAGTGTTTAGATAGTTAACTTTAGTCTAGTTATCTCAGTGGGTCTCAAACGGTTTGTTTTAAAAGGGTGCGTGATTTAAAAAATATCTATAAAGAAATAGAAAATCTGTTTACAGTTCTGTGTCATATGGATGTTGAGAGATGTATCCATAGATCTCTTAATGTTACTCTCAAAGTGCACCAGGTTGATGCTTTTAACTTCAATATTTAAAAAAATCTTCCCGGGGGAAACATGCCCCCGGACCCCACTAGAGGAGGTGAGGACCCCCCTAGAGGAGGTGAGGTCCACCCCCCAGTTGTAAAAATAGCACTTTACCCCTGCACACTGTGTGTGTGTGTGTGGGGAGTGTTGCAGTAGAACATTCAACTGTAGCGCTGGTGCATTAATGGGAAACCCTTAATGTTTGAGCACCCTCTATGAAACGTCAAGCTACCCCACAGCACCCCCCTAGAGAAAATCTCTGGCGCCGCCACTGCTGCAGAGGTGGTTCTCCAGCCTGCGTTTGGATCCCAAGAGGCACAAACGGCGGCTGATGACCATCCCCCCCTCAGTGGAGGGCAACCTCCGGTTTTGGGGGTCCCCGGATCACCTCCGGAGGGGGTCTCCACTGGGACGGATGACCTCCTACATCACAGTGTTCATGGACGCATCCAGAACAGGATGGGGAGGGACCTGCCTGAAGAGGGCTAAAAAGGTGGGCGCTGGGCTCTAACAGAGTCTCGACACAGCAACCTCCTAGAGCTACGGGCGGTAGTGTTAGTTCTCCAGCATTTCATGCCCCTAATTCAAGGGAGACATGTAATGGTCAGGAGCGACAACAGCACCACAGTGGCTTATATCAAAAGGCAGGGCGGAGTCCGCGCCGCCGCCTTGTTGGCCACAGCGGAGAGGCTGTGGTTATGGGCTTCAGCAACACATCCTCACTCCCAGGTCGGCTTATGTTGACGTTATGTCAAGTCCCCTGTGTCGGCTTTTTCCAACGCAAGGGGGGGCCCTTAGCGTCCATTTTCAGCTTTCCGGGATGTCCATATGCTTCTATGGACGCTCATGGAAGCACGGCGTTCGTTTGTGTCGACTACCCTTAAAGGCAATGTGAGCGTCCATTCTCATTGGATAACGGAGAATTGTACACCCGGAAGTAAGTATTCCCCTTACTGTCGATTGATTTTACAGGGATATCTGCACTACTCATCGACTAAAAAACACCAGATTATCCTTGTTA